ACAAGTATTGCCTTGGTACGTTGGTTTTTAATATTCACAAGTGCCGAGCTACTTTTTTCTTGTGGTAAATGTAACGAGCACCATGTCGGCAACCTTACATGTAACAAGTTGGTCTTATAGTACACAACACGGTAGCATAACATTAATTAAAAGATGATTACTTTAGCTGGATGCAATTCCCTATAAAAGCGAAGCGTCACAACACCCACGGCGAATGACGGGGTGGTCTAATGACGCGTCAATTACTTGAACGGTAAAACTAAATCGATATCAAAGTGCTATCGTAGACGTATTACATCCTGTGACAACACATCTAGGGATGCGCCTTGCTTCTGATTTTTTATTACAGAAGGCAAAATTCCATTAGATTCGCATTAATAAGTATTTTAGTAGAAAATATCTTAACTACTCATAGCAAATGTATTATAATATGTATTAATGAACTTTATTTCAGCTTTTTTAATCGCAATGCCACTAATACATCTGTCCAAAATGTTCCAGGGTGTAAACAACCCAGTATCTCCGATGGTGACTGACACGATCCGCAGTCACATTCAGTTTGGCGACTCTGAGATGAACGGTTCAAGCCCCACACACTCTCCTTCGAAGATGGGCAACGGTAGCGCGACTCTACACCCAGCCGAGGTGAGATGGGCCTCGGTGGACACTGTGAGTCGATATCGATGTAGGCACGAACCGAGCACGGCTAGTAACGCTCACGGAAACGACACGGATCCGAGACTACTTGTACTAGTCATCAAACTATTGCACACTGTCTAAATTCTTTAATACATTTTCAATTAGTCATAGGATTGAAAAAATATCAAAGAAGTTTGATAGATCAGTAGTTTGATGTACTGCCGGCTGGTTAATAGTAGGAATGGAATGGATACCAATTAAGACATGACCAAAAAGTATCTGTTAAGCGCAGTAACAGTTTTAATTGCACGTACTTAGTTGTAAGTTAATAACGTCTTTGTGAACTTTCTGTATAATTTTACGGTCGTTAATTGTCCGATGCGATGTTTGTCTTAAGTCTACCTCTAAAGCCTATGCGCGTCCATTAAAATAATTGGACAGCAATCAATTGAATCGGACCGGAAAGTCATTCGGAATAATGTTTCGTGTTAGTTTACAAATGTAAATCTATGCGATTAGTGAGTAAAACTATCCAAGTATCCATTCCATGTTCTGAATGTGTGAGATCGTTCACAGAAACTGCGCCATATTGGTTTTTGTGAACATTTTGCGACTCTTCGTGCGATTTTCTCGGATCGTGTTCAATTCCAAACATTTGGCACTCGTGCACGCTAGGAAGAAAACGCTTCTTACTATGTATTATGTATTTCAATACAAAGACGCTCTGATTTCGTTCTTCACTTCTACTCACGATTAATGTCTACAAGAATTTCAATTAATACGACTCATACATTGTAATAATCATTACGAACAACCATTACGATAAGTAATTATAACAAATTAAAACAAACGAGCCGTGCTTTGCTTAGAATGAAGCATGATTACACAATAATTCTAAACTGAATGATTTAATTTTACAGAAATAATCGTACTACAATATTAATTGTATAACAAAACATTACTTACAATAACAATTAACTATAGTGTGTGTTATTGCACGTGAAACAATGATAATAATTATATTTAAGCGTTAGAGGTATACGTTAAGCGTTATAGTGCCTCACCAGAACTTTATCAAAGTTAGGGCTCCACTAGTGTGGTAGATCGAATGAAAACCAATTGTTCTGTGAATGGTAGCAACGTACGGTCCACCGAGGAGGAATCCGGTGACAGGCGATGGAGTGGCAGTGCCGCCGCAGCGCCGCCGCCACCCCGCCGCCAGCCTGCGAGGTGCCGACCCCGACGATCCCAACACCCAGCTCCTACACCCACAACCCACCCACAGATACTTCACTCGTGACTGGCCCCCGAAACCCGCTAACTACTACGTAGAATCCACCATGAAACCCAGTCTCACCACAAGAATAACCCCATACACACTCCTCGGCTTGGCAACTGATGATCCAGAAGTTGAACATCCTGTTATTGACCCAGATTCTTTGTCACCTCAACTTGTTCTCAACCGCCACTGGCCTCCTTTCCCAGCTCAGCACTATTTGGAGCCAAAAGAGCATAAGATTCCATACCATCCCCTGCCACCTTACGCTTTAGGCGAAAGGCCTACTCCTGATTACAAGTACGATCCAATTCCAACCTTGGATGGACCCATAGATCCATATTTGATAGCCAATACTGATCCCCCACCGACGCTGTTTAAATACGAGCGTGACGGGCCTATTCCCGACGTGATCCCCCTGCAGACTGCCCTAGTCCCCGGGCCGCACACTCTAACCGGTTTCCCGCCTATATTCCACAAACACGTTCCTGGATACCTTTTTGATCGCAATCGGCATGCAGAGGACTTCCGACCTAAGACGTACTATGTAGACTATGTCCGCCGAAGAGAAATGGGTGGGTGCTCAGTTTACACTGGAGGAATGCTGTTGTTTTCGCACCAATTACTCTGATGAAATTTGTCAACCACACCAGAACATCGGAGGGAGCTTACCACTTTTAATTTGCTGTACATACAAACAAAAGGACCGAAGAACGATACCTTGGTGTTAATAAATTGAGCACCCATTGCCGTTTTATAATTTGCTCATACTAGGGTTTAGTTTGACCGTTTCTTCTTAGTGAAGCAGTGTAGGCTTGTGATGTCCAATAGCGCTTATTTTATCGTCTCCTGCTTGTAATGTTGTCGAGTATTCGTTGTTGTGTTGTGTAAAGTTGTGTAAATACGTGCTCAATTCAGTTTGACTTCCTCTTACGCACGTCGCCTCTTTCTTCTTTCTATTACTTGTAGGTTTAGTTTTATTTCAATAGGTACTTTGGCTTTATAAACTTATGTAGGTAATGTTGATATCTTCTATTAGCTTTATCAATTGTATCTTTAACTGCTGTATTATAAACTATATTATTATAAATTGTTATTTTTTGTACTTAGTCTTTAATACAATTGTAGTTAGGGTTATTCCAACTCACGTATTTTCTGCATGGTGAAAATTATAATTTATCTCAAATAGTTTTATAACAAGACTGATTTCGAAAATTTCCATTTCATTAGATGTTTTCACAAAATTAAAGTTCCACTGAAGTAACACAGTTGCTTTGATGTACGCTGGCACTATTGATGATAATGCTAACGAGACCAATTTACTGATTTCAGAAGGCAACCCAATCACCGGTGACGGCTACAAATCGATGAACGGCCAGATCAACACGGTGACGTCAATAAACGGCAATAGCCTAATGAGCAACACTAGCCGCGTGCCGCCCGGTGGCTACTCCTCCGGCCTCTGGTAGACAACACTCACTACTGACGACCCACCTACACCACTCACGCGGCGAAAGACCAGATTCAACAGTCGCCGCCAAGCTATCGGCATGCGCAAACCGACTTTATTCTAAAGCCAGTGCTTCATTCGGGGAAACCTCGAAAGTTAAACGAATCTGCGTAGACAACACCCGAGGCTCTATTTATTTTAGGCCTCAGATCGAGGCAGACTGAACCTGTCTTCCTCAATCTGAGGCACACCTCGAATGAAGCAACAGCTTTAAAATATATTTAACGGTACATAATGAAAAATGCATTTAGTTCACTTCATATTATTTCTTTAATCAACTAAATTTGGGTAGTATTGGCAAATTCTAGTAACGCCATTAAATTAATGCACACGTAAATTGCAACGTCCATTAAATCTTGGAAGGGTATATGTTGTTAATTACATCCTTAGCCTATCCCAGTAACAGTTTCATCATTTGAATAATTTAGAATAGATTATAGATATTTTTGTAATAGTAATATTCGATAGTTATTGTAAAGTTAATAGATTCGCGACGTAGAACTTGGAAATGATAATCAGCGAACTGTAGAATCGCGCGATCTAACAATATCATTGTCAGTTTCATTTATGATCTCCAAGTTGTGCGTTGAATTATCTTAAGAACTTGAAATTGTACTCTTTCACACTTGTACGAATATGTTAACCCATTGATATTGTGAATTTAGGAGTGAGGAAACGTATCAGCAATATACCAAAACGATTAGTGCCTTGATCGAAGACGAGGAAAATTCTGTAAGAATTGATGTACATTTGTGTAGGCGTAACGTACTAAGCAAGAAGATTTATGATTATATATCTATATTTCGCGGTATAGAAATAGTAATCATGCGGCACTCCAGCTAATTGATACAAGTAAATTAACATAAACTTTAATATTCGACACTGCATAAGGGTCTTTAATCTCATTTGTTGAATTTCATTATCTTAATATTTAAATAGAGGGATTTATAAAATGCATTTATTTAAACTTTTTATACGAGTTTATTTTATTTTTTAGTTTATTTTCTACTCGTTTAGAAATTAATGTAATGACGGATTTGAATTTTTGGTAGATTATCTGTTAACATGATCAGATGATCACGTGTGTGTGCATGAATTATGATGTATCTATGCGTAGCGGTGTCCTGTGACGACCTGATAGAGGTAGCGTAGGCATATCATCTTTGTAAAAACTTTTTAATAATATTATCTAACATGAATTGCATAATCACTGGCCTAATTGTAACAAATGTTAATAGATAATAACCATTATTTCAAAATAAAGTTTTTTTATTAATTATTTTATTGTTGTTTTTATTTGTATTATAGTGTTTTAGCCTCGTAACTAACACCTATCGTTAGATTATAAATTGGACTGATTGATTGATTGACAAATTGGAAATAAAAGTGTTCAGGTAATAATAACTATCTGTCTTCGAGATACAAATAGCATGAAATTCATTCCAAGATCGCATTTGAAAAATCAGAAAGACATTTCTTCAACAGTTTATAAAATAATTTATTGCTTATAAATAATATCAGTTATAAATATCATAACTTTGTACATAATATCAATTTACTATATTATCACATTGTCTATACCTTATCAACAATATCTTCTTGAATTTCTTTCTTCTCTGCTTTTGTTACATTATTGCCCCTGCGTTCTTTAGGATCGGGCAGATTGGCTGGTGATTCTATCTCAAATGTCACTGGCCCGTCATTCTGTATGCTCACCTGCATGTAGGCTGCGAACTTGCCGTCTGAAACAAGGATATCATCATTGTCAGCCTCCTTTTTGACTACTGCGGTATATAGGCGTCTTCAAAGGCAGTACTATCTTATCTTTACTCAGGGCCCGTGCCCAGGGCCACCATCTTCATGAGGGCCCGAAGAACCGACAATTTCCACGACGGACACACCGACACTCACGTTGCGTGGCAACGGTTCAATTCCGGCGCGAAGCAAATCTTTGTGTGGTCTACAAATTGTTATTTCGGATCTGAGTGTCATGTGTATGTGAACTTGTATGTTTGTAAACGTACCCGCGATACAGGAGAAAATCTTAGAGTGGTGCAAAGTTAAAAGAAGGAAACATGCCAAAAGGGCCCGCATTATTGGATACAATAAGGGGGCAAGGGTGATACCCTAGGGCCCCAGTGTAGTCTAAGACGGCCCTGTTCAAAGGCATGCTAGAGTAAATATAAATATGTATAACCTACCTAGGGAGGTGATTTAGCTTAGTGCTTAGTGTTATTGAATTCGTATAGTTTCCAATAAGAACCTGTAGGTACCTACCTACTCATGGCGTAACGAAGTTTGCTTCTGATATTTGATTCAAATATTATAATAAAAAAAAATAACAAACATAACATCACGCCTTTCCCCGAAGGGATAGATACAGGTACACATTACGCCACTTAATGCCAAATGCCATTAAAAAAAATACCTTTGACTTTATCTGGTTTGTAAGCATCCTTTAACATTTGCAAGAAGTTTTCATAGAATTCCTTAGACTTGTCGCCTGGCATCGCATGGTGGAAGTCTGGTTTTGTACCCTGCAAGGAAATAAACATTTATCAACATTCATGTATATTATGTGGACTTAGTTGGTTGAGTGGTCGCAAGTACGACTTCCGAGCAAGGGATCTTGGGTTAATTCCAGGGCTTTTATGTATTTTTAGGTATAAGAAAATTCTTGGCTCCTAATAGCACGGTACCTAACGGCAAAACAAATTACTATTGAATTTGTGTGAATAAAGATCCACTTAATAACATAACATAACATAACATCACGCCTATTATCCTCGAAGGGGTAGGCAGAGGTGCACATTATACCACTGTACAATGTAACACCCACTTTTCACTATTTATGTTATGAGTCCCATGTAATAGGGGGTGAGCCTATTGCCATATACCGGGCACAGTTCCAGACTCCGTGCTAATACTGAGTAGTAATACTTTACCCGACCCGGGAATCGAACCCGAGACCCCTTACCCGGCAGTCGCAATTGCGTCCACTCGGCCATCCACTTAATAATAAATATATAAAAATTATTCTCACCTTCCAAGTATTGTACAAAGTAAACTGGCTAACGCAGAGAATTTCAAAATCTCTTTCTAATACATTTTTCTTCCATCTCTTCTCTGATTCATCATCAAATAACTTAATGCTTAGTAATTTCCGTACACTGGAATGAAATTTATAAAAATAATATGATTCTGGCACTTATAAACTAAAAAAAAACTTGGTAGGTGTACTAGATGTAAATTAATAACTATCTTAACAATGAAATTAAAGTTTTAGAATTAAAGAACTTATCTTTTACATATTTATAACTTAACTAGAAATATTTAAATTTCTATTCGACTGCCTCATAGGCCGAGTCCTGCCGGGTAAGGGGTCTCGGGTTCGATTCCCGGGTCAGGCAAAGTAATACTGGGTTTTAAAAAATTCTCAGTAGTAGCACAGAGTCTGGAATTGTGCCCGGTATATGGCAATAGGCTCGCCCCACATACATACATACATGGGACTCATAACATAAATAGCGAAAAGTGGGTGTTACATTGTACAGTAGCATAATATGCACCTCTGCCTACCCCTTCGGCGATAAAAGGCGACATTTCATGATTGTATTTAAACCAATCTACAGTGTATAAAGAAACTAGATGGTTCAGTAACTTTTTAATATTAAGCAATTGTTTTAAAAATGGTAACCGGTGACCGCTCTCCACTAACTACATTATAGACCTTATTTCCAATGTTTAGAGACTACTTTTGTATGAACAAATTTAGGGGATGAATTTCAACGGGTTATCTCTGATGAATATAGAGTAATGATACTATAGTACAGGGTTTCCCAAACTAGCGAATTTTTTGTGAGCTTTGTCTACAAACTAATATACTAAACAACCATTCTATATTTTACTTTTCATATTGGTAACGGTTTAATTTCCTACAAGTGGGTCCTGAGTTGAGGACTTGATTTAAGCACATGTAAAAGACTATTTTTTAAACATCTATGAGATAATATATTTGTCTGTATTATCCATATGGCACTTACACAATCAAAGCCATATGTTGAGCCAATTGTTAAGCCTGTTGTTAGATTTTTGGAGTTATCATTATTTAAATAAAAAGGTAACTTACATGTATTCCATGTCCTTTTTACTATCAGTATTTGATATTCCTATAAAGACACACATTCCTTGCCCAATACTGCTTATTACTTCATCATTTACTGTAAACAAAAATTCAAAATATGTTCAATTTCATGAAAACCATGCAAATATTTTAAATGTAAATAAATTAAACAGAATAGTCTTTAGTAGGTTATGTGTATAGCTAAAGCAAAGAATGTATTAAAATAAGTTTTCAGTGATATTTTTATAATCTTTTATATTGCAATATTGATCAAAATATAACCTCAAATAATACTGTGCATAAACTCACCGGTAACTTTAGCGTTCATTACACGTTGAATAAGGGCTTTCATTTTTATATTGTTTATTCACAATTATCTAATATTACTTATTACTTACTAATAAATAAGAACGCTATGTAAATAAATACATACGTTAACACCAAAAATGACAGTGAGTGTCACTGCACTGAACTGACATTTTGCACCATTTATTTTTGTTACGCTACTCGATACGAGATGGCGCTATTCTGTTTATTATTTCTGTTTCCTTTTAAATATAATAGATGGTGTTAGTTTAGCCTTTTAATGACTTAAGGTAACAAGTTCATTACTCCCAAAAGTTACTTGAAAATTATCTTTCAAAGTTCCGATGAAACAATCGATTTATCATATAGGACAGACGTATATCTATAGAAATCGTTTATATGGCACATGGTGTGGTGGAAAATGTCACTGGCCTAAAGTCCGAGGTCGACTTTCTAGGTTTATTGCCACAGAACCGTTTGTAAATACTGAAAACAATTAATTTTTAATTACACACCTTGTTTATAATAACGTGATGTTTGTAATGGTATTTACGTAGTTTGTAGCCTGCTTTTATGTTAATGCGTCCATTGCTTACTGAAAAAATATGAAATTGAATACACATTGTCTATTATACCGACCTAAGTATTAGCGTGTAATATTAATAATATGTTTAATTTACTGACGAATAGTTGGAATGTCTCCTTCACCTAGACCTAAACGACCCACTGACCAAAATTTGTGAGCGTTATCTCCTATTATGGAACAATTTTATTATTGCTGATTCCCGAGATGGAAATAATGCCAATAAACTAATTATAACATAACATCATCACGCCTTTTATCCCCGAAGGGGTAGGCAGAGGTGCACGCAGAAGTAACACCCACTTTTCACTATTTATGTTATGAGTCCCATGTAATAGGGGGTGCTCACCCCCTATTACATGGGACTCATTATTGCCATATACCGGGCACATTTCCAGACTCCGTGCTGTTCAGAGTCTGCCGATACGGAGCCGCGGAAGACTTAACGGGTTGCCGGGGCTCCGGTTCGAAGTGCAGGTGTAGGAACGGGGTGGTTTTTAGTCAGTAAGAGTCTGACACTCCCTCCCGGCTCACCCAGGCGGGAGAAGTCACTGGATGATTTTCCCCCCTCAAAAAAAACAGACCCCGTGCTACCACTGATATTTTTTTTTTTAAATCCCCGTAATATTTTGCCCGGCCCGGGAATCGAGCCCGAGACCCCTTGGCCGGTAGTCGCACTTGCGACCACTCGGCCACCGAGGCAGTAAACTAATTATAGATTCTTAAATTATTCTGCAGTAATGAGTATTTACTTAGTGAACACTAACCACAAAGGAGATTATTTCGGCTCCATACATTTTTGGGCATTTTCTGAAAATGCTGGCCATCGAAAAGAAATGGTAAGTCTTGTTAGATCTAGCCAATTGAAGCAATAGTTAATATGGCATAAAAGTTGTAGGATCCAAGATGAAGAAGTTATACCAGTTCGAAGATCATCATTTTCATACATTTAGTGCTTCCTAAAGGTGCTAGGAAACCCAGATCTAACGAGACGCACCTTTTTTTTCGTTGGTCGAACAACACTTTCAGAAAAGGCAAATAAAAATAATCTCCTTTTTTCTCCCCTAACTAACACATGTACGACTAAAAACGACCTAGTCCTGTCAATTCATTTATTTTCATTGTGCACCAGCCAGAAATAAATTAAGTTGCCTATTTCCAATAGGTCAGGTAGGTAGGTGACTTGATTCATCACGGAAAATGGAACAACAGTCATCGCTATGTTATGTCTAGAAGATTTTTTTTAATTCTTCATTAATAACGATTTAGTGACGTAGGTAAATATTTAATCAACTGCAATAACAATAAATCTTCACAACGGAGTCAGTAATTTAGTGTTTAGGTATTAAAAATATGTTTTATTTATTGAATATGGTATACCTAATTAGTATTTATTATCTGTGTCGGTGTAGTCAAGGGTAAAGCGGCAAACACCTACACTTACAAGTGCTAGTGCTACACGCATGCGCCGCAAGGTCATTCCCCAGGGCGTTGCGCCCGCGCACACAAGCACGCTTTACAAAAGGTTTAGTTTATTGCAGCTGTGTATTGACGCGCGAGTAGAATGCAGACTATTGGAACGAGTTTTTAACAAATGAGCAGACTGAAATTATTTATTTAACACATTAACTCGTCGAGTACCGGTTTTATAGACACAATTAAAGAACAATAGGTCGCGGTCACCGGTGACCGCTTGGTGTTTGACAGTTTAAACGCCGTGGCAGTCACCGGCGACCGACGTTAGCGGAGGATTTGCCTTCAACGGTTTTCTATTGGCAGTCAAAACCTTAACAAAACCACAATTTAACTATAGTTTGTAACCTACCTAAGTTTATGGTAGGTACGCTTTTCATCTAAACTGCTGAGTCGATTGTGATGCGATGCGGAGGCTGTTGATGATAAACTGCATCATTATAAGAGAAAATAAATCTTTTAATATTTATAATATTATTCAAAATTAACTAAAAATCGCGGGTTATTCACGTGAATATACTGAGAAAAGCTCTACTAGTTTGTTAATCACGTGGGTAACCCGCGATGTTTAGTTAATTTAATAATTAATTATGTCTCACGATAGTTATTATAAAAACATTATTCAAAATGTTCATCCTTTACTTAAATGACTCAAAACAATTTTAAACTTGAAAGTCAATAAAGAAACAAACGATGAGCAAGATTTTCTAAACCTTGTAGGTATTGGGTAACAACAATTAATAAATCTATTTATAACTATATTGTTTTCATGAATTATACCTTCTGTAATTATTTATTCAGTGGTTTTAGGTCAAGTGCGTGTGCGCATGTCACGTGGTGGATCCACGTGCCCGCCGCAACGAGCCCGAATACCGGGCAGTGGGCGTGACTACTCGTAGCAACAATTTAGTTTGAAGCATCCTGCTTTAGTTAGGGACTTTCGGATGTCGATTGTTTCAGCAACTTAAAATGTAATTTGGATACGTTTTAGTACCAATCTATGTTATTTCCCCGAAAGGGGAAGGCTACAGGTAGTGTTAACTGCCTTTGTATACCCACCTCTATTGCTGTGAAGGTATCTATAGAGGTTTTGCTTCATGTTTTTATAGTTTTGTGTGGGCAATTTGTCCTTCATTAGGTACTATTTAGTTTAATTCCTTATTGAGAACCTCATCGAACCCCACCATACTTTACTTTATAAAACATTCAACCTTAGGATCGAGTCTTTCCTCAGAGCGAGATATCAAAAAGAATAGATAAAAAGTCCTTCTCCTTTCGATAATTTTATTCTATTAATCTAATGATGCATCTACACTTAGCATGAGCCACTCTCGCGCCTCATTCATTCCTTCTCACTCCTATTTCCCATAAATCCTAATATACCTACCTCTACGAATTAATTTCCACCTGACTACCTCTTTGTTTAATACTCAGCTAAAAACTTTAAGCCTCAACAACAATTATATTGTTTGTTATTAAAAACATAAAGTGATGATTCAATCAATAATAACTTTAAAACTGCTGTTTCACTTGTGTAGCCTGATGACACGAAACATGATATCAGCACAATAACCTGCACAGTTTCGTCAGTGTATTTTCTGCGATATGATATTTTTAGTCTCGCCTACTTTTTATTATTTAAGACAAAGACAAAGAAATGAAATAACTATTTTTATTCCCAAAATTTAATACAATTAGTTAGTTGAAGACTGCCTCGTTGGTCGAGTGGTCGCAAGTGCGACTGCCGGACAAGGTGTCTCGGGTTCGATTCCCGGGTCGGGCAAAGTATTATTGGGTTTTTAAAAATCTCAGTAGAAGCACGGAGTCTGGAAATGTGCCCGGTATATGGCAATAGGATCACCCCCTATTACATGGGACTCATAACATAAATAGTGAAAAGTGGGTGTTACATTGTACAGTGGCATTAAGTAATTGCCGAAATGTGCACCTCTGCCTACCTCTTCGGGGATAAAAAGGCGTGATGTTATGAATACAATTAGTGAAATTAAAACTTTATCTTTTTGGTCCGTCGAGTGAGTTGTCTCAATTCCAAGTGAGTCATCCGTGGTTATAAGGTAATATAGGAAGTTCATATTACCAAAGAATCTAACCCAACAACTTTGACAGCCGTATCAAGCACAACACAAAATCAAACAAAACCAAATCTAGCCACAACAACAAACCCTAACAATCTCCATTAAAACTAAATCTATAAAAACACTTAGCTAAACTAAGCGAAAACAATGAAGTACCAAGTACCAAGGCCGGAGCAGTAAAGTTTGCAACAATAGCGTGGACAATGTCACATGGCAGGCAATGCATGGCTCGCGTAACGGATTGTGTAACAGCTCTAAGGAATATTTCACCACTTTCGGGTTTCCTTTATTACGTATTTGTTGGATGTTCGATAAAGTTTAAATCGACTGTAATAAGTGGAAGATTTCTCGCTTGTTCTTTTTAGAGAAGCGTGTTTGACACTAGAATTCATTTTGTGTCGTGAGCTTGGGTGTGATCACAAAAACAACAGTTTGTAAATCACAATTTCCACGCTTGGCGTCTTTGTAAGCTTTCACAATACCCGCGAGAATATCAGCGGTGGTATTATTCAATTCTGCCAAGTGCCATCTCCTTACCGTCAATAGATATACCTACCGTCGCCAAAAGTAGGTACTTTAGAGAGGACTCTAAGGAATCAATTTAAAAACATCTTCAACGAGGTTTATTCGCGTGATGTGCGTGTAAGACGCATCTTAATTAGTAGACAGTTAGATACGCCTTACCGCATGACACACTTACTGAGAATACATAGGCAATTAGGTAGGTATCTAGGAATGTCTAGGCATTGTCTCGTTCATTACATAGAAACAGTATACTTACCTATAGTTATACGTAGTAGGTATTTGTAATACCACGAGATCTACCATGAGTAACGTCTGCATAGTATACAAATTATTATGTAGGTACTGTTAAACTAGTGAGTGGCGTATGTT